TCCATTTTGTCTGTTATTGGCATGGCCACCTCAGTTCTCTTTTGGTTATTATTTGCATGGAATATCTTTCCTTATTCTTTCACTTTCAATCTGTTTGTGTCTTTGAATATAAAATGAATCTGTTTTAGACAATGTAGAATTGGATCATGCTTTTTCAGAATCTGTTCTGCCTATCTGCCTTTTAATAGGAGAGTTTAATTCTAATAGCCATGTTTTCTAGTTTCTGTGTTTGGTACTTTGACATCTGGGGCCTTGTTGACAATAGAAGAACTGGTTCTCCCAGGCTTAGCTAATTCCTAGAGATAGCAAACAACTCAGCTGTGAGCACCCCTTTCATTTGCAAACCAACCAATTCAGAGCCTATACCACCAATCACATCCTTTATCAGGCTCCCACACTCTGGACCACTATCCACTAGCCCTAATCACTGCAGGGCCAGGTAACAGACAGCTAGAGGTACCACTGAGCCACTGAAATTATTCAGATTAGCCAATCCCAAACCTGCTTACGGTACCACACCTGTTCCTTCCCACAGAAGCCTCAATAAAGGCTCTTGCCTTCATCTTTTCCTCACTTGTTCTGCCTCACCACTGACGTTAGTGCTTCCCCATGTGGCTCTGTGTGGCATGCTGTACTTTCTGTTTCTAGGGAACTGTGATTATAAAAACTTCTTTCTCCATGACAGTTATTTCTGTATCTGTGTATCTTATCATACGTGATTAAAACAAATCCTGGGTACCTTGAAAACATTAATCATTTACATTTATTGATAGGGAAGAACTTACTTCTGCCCTTTTGCTATTTGTTTTCTATATATCTATACTTTTTTTGTTCCTCAATTCGCCATTACTGCTCTTTTTCTTTGGGTTAATTTATTTTTTCTTGTGTACTCTTTTGATTCTGTTCTTATTTCTTTTTCTGCATATTTTTTAGTTTTTTTCTTTATTGGTCCCCCTGGAGAACACAATTAACATCTTAACTTTGTAACAAGTTTTTGTTTTATGTAACAATATCAATTTATATTCAATACAAGAACTCTATTCCTTTATAGCTCCATCCCCCTTTTATTATTGACACAAATAGTATCTTTATACTAAGTGTGCATATTAACATGGCTTTCTAGTTATTGTTTTATGCATTTGTCTTTTGTCATATAGGGAAAAAAAAGCACAGTTATAAATCATATATACAATACTTCTTGCTTTTATATTTTCCTAAGTAGTAACCTTCACTGTTCTTTATTTCTTTATATGACTTTGAGTTACATGTCTTGTATTCCTTTATTTCAGCTTGTGAGTCTTATAAGACTTGGCAGATGTCAGTAAATACAGATGCAAATGAATCTGCCTTCTATAATATGAATGTACTTTAAGTTATTCAACCAATCCCCTATTAATTGACATGAAATTATTTCTATGTTTTACCACTAACGTGCTTGTACACATGCTTTTGCTTTTATAGATTAGATTTCTGAAAGTAAAATTGCTTCATCAAAAAGGTATGTGTTCTCTTACATTTCTTAGCCTCTCTTGCACATATGTTGAGGCCATAAAATGTAATATAAGACACTTCTAAGGCTTATAAACAACCCTAGGTGATCCCTCTTGCTCTTCTGTCAGTAACCTTGGAAACCATGTTTGCCATCTGGAATACATCACTACAAGAAAAGTGCAGGCTAGATACCTGAAAAATCAATGAAGCAGAGCCATGCAAGAGAGCCAATAACCCTCATTGAACCATAACATGAAAGAGTAATCAATTTTTTTAAGACACTGAGATTTTTGGATGTATTTTTATTAATTAAGCATCCTAATATACTACTTTAATCTCACCTCCAATTTCAATCTTCTCTTCACAATTAAATACTTATCAGTTTGATACACACTCATCCAGAAATTTATATATCTCTGTTTTGCAATTTAACTAAATTTTATCATAGTAAATCTACCATCCTCTTGTATGTATTCAACAGTATTGCTGCAGATGCCTCACTATAAGAATCTCATTCTTTTTAACTATCATGTGATTTTTCTTGGTATAGACAGACAACAGTTTGTTTGACTAAATTCCTATTGATGACTTAGTCTGATTTCAATACTTTGGCTCTTACAAACAATGCCACAATAAACATCCGTCTCTGCTTTCCTGTGCACATGTGTAAATATGTCACTGCAGTAATTCAAAGCAATGCAAGTGTTGGGCTGTATAGTATACACATATTTTTACTGGTTTATCTTTTTCTTTTCCATTTATAAGAGCTATTGGGATATTAGGGATATTTTCCCATTATTTATCATGGTATTAAAATATTTTCTCAGGCTATTTCTTGCCTTGGCACCTTTTATATTTTTTTCCTTTATGACTTCTGGGTTTTCTTGCTTGCTTAAGAAGATAATAACTATCATACAATTATAACAATTTTTTATTAATTTTTATTGTAATATTTTATTTTTGTTTTTCACATTTTCACATTTAATACACTTGGGATATATTTTTTTGTATGTGGTGAGTAGGAATCCATGTTCATTTTTCTTCTGATTGCATGGCCCATGTTGCTTGATTCTTTTGTTAAGAAAACAAAAAACTATTTGCAAATATGTGAAATCCTTAACCACTTCGGTATGGCGCTCACCGGCCACGAAACCTTGCCCACAGCCGGCACTCATAGTCCGCACGATAGTTTGTGCTGTGCATGGACGATGAATCCGTTTTGCTCTTGTGTGATGAGGAAAGCTTTAAAGCACTGAAAGCTTGTTTGACTTTACAGGCAGCTTTACTTGTAGTGTAAATCAGAATAGGTAGCACACACACACACACACACACACACACATATGTATATGTTTTCATTATGTTATTTTTAAATGTTTATAAATATTATTTTGATAAATGAAAAATTAGAAAAGTCATATCACGGCTGTCGGCTAAAGTCACTGTGCGCATTCCTCTGTGGCTATCAACTATAGTGGATGCTGGTACCGAAGTGGTTAAATAAATATGCTTATAGCTAAACATTTGCTCATCATCATGATTACTTCCTTAGGACAAATTTGAAGCAGTAGAATTATTGGAACATGGAGTATATAAAAAATATGCAGCCTTTGGGATTTATTGTGAATAGGAGTACAAAAATGAATGTAATTATTTACTCTCTCACTGAGTATGAGAATGCCTACATCCTCAATAAAATTTGAGTATTATACGTAAAAATATGTTTGCCTGTTTAATATGTAGATAGGAATACTTTGTCATTTTCATTTTTTTTAAATTTGTCTTTGTACCTATTAGGCTGAATAATGTTTATTCTCCACATAGATTTATTTGGTGGATACCCTATTTATGTCATTTCCGGAATTTTCAGGGTATAATAATCACCATTTTGACTTTTGGGAGCCCTTAATTATGAATTATAAACCAGTAGGATCTTTGATTATAAGAAGACTCCCTCAGCATAGTTCAGCTGAAACAGGGATCTATAGTGAGGGTTTATGAGGCAGTAGTGGAGACCATGATTTCATAGGAATTGCAAAATGGAGATTCCAGGGCCAAATGCTCAGAGATTCTTATTCAGTGTGTTGGTAAGAGTATGTGTGTGTATGGGGAGATGTGAGCCAGAATTGTGCATTGTAAATAAACACTCCAGATGATTATAATGTAAGGAGATGACTCTTAGAGTTATACAGTGTTAGAATAATTTTATAGACTAAATTTGGGGAATAATCCTTTGCCTGATAGGTTTCTTTTGAAAATATAAATTATAGTTTCTATAAAAGTAGAGACATTGCCAATTTTATATCATCAGAAGCAAAACTGGGCACTAGAATTCTAATTAAAATAAGTATTTATTAAGTACCCACTATGTGTTAGTCATTGTACTAATCGATAGTATAATGAAAAAATATGACATATTTTTTGAAATGCAAAATATAAGAAGTCCAGTTTAAATGTTTAAATATATATGTACATACATCTACACATATATGCTTTGTAAGACTAATATATATGTCTAAGTATATATATTCTTAATATATATTAGTTATATATTAGTCTTAATATATATTAGTATATATATTAGTCTTACAAAGCATATTATGTGTATATGTACATATACATTTATATATATTAGTACATATGTACACACACATATCTAAGTCTTATGACACATTTTTACACATGTTTCAGGAAGGGAAAGGATGGAGAGCAGGGAACTGTTTCTGCATCAGTTTGGGCAATTTACACATGTACCCCCGAGGGTCATCTGAACCAGTAAAGCAGGCCTACCAGGAACCTTCAGGGAGAGATCACCCCACAAGAGAAGGGGGACAAAATCTCATTCCTTAGACTTAGAGCAGCAACTCTGAGTACAGCATGACGCCTCACTCAAACTTGTACCTTGGTCCAACTCCCAAATGGACTCATAACGTCCGATTCCCTGTGGAGAGGAAAGGTCCTATGATTGAAAACAGAAGGGGCTGTTTGGGAAGGACTCTGCGAGAAGACATTGTGGTCCAAGCAACCCTAGAGAAGTCCCACTTCTGTTAAGTGGCACTATAAAGCAGAAAGAGACCTTTAGAAGATAGAGTGGGAGTTCAACCCACTGGGGACTCCAGGAAACTCAGTGGGGTTTGGCACTTAGGGACCCCACTGCACTAGCAGCAGTGGGGCCAGCAGAGAGCAAAGGACACAGCAGAAGAGGCAAAGCAGTGCCCAGCAGGCATGGCAGGACCCCGGGGAGGAGACAGGGGTAAAGGGCTCAACAGCAGAGGACTAGCATGAAAGCCCCCACCTCTGCCTAGTGGACTTGTTGGGTCCACAAGTTGATTCATGCCAGGCCCTCCCTCAAATAATTGGTGCTTCTATCCTATGGTGGTTTGGGGGTTCTGTATGCACAGGTGGGGACAAGATCCCATCAAGCGCCCCTCAGAGTTACTGCCTCATTTCTTCCTCACAGCAGCCCCGTGAGGCAAATATTTTCCCCATGAAAAGACTGAGTCTTAAACATGTGCATCTATAATAACAGCCAGTTTATTCCTCTGGCTAAGAGATCCAGAGGCAATCTGAAGTTTACATTTCTTTTTTATACATCTGTTATTGAGTTTATTAAGTGTTTCACTGCTTTCCAAAGGTGATTGACAAGTTGTTATATTGTGTCTATTTTAGAGGGTATTTTTTTCTTTTGGTGGCACAAGTAATACATACACACAAACATATATTCATTTTTTGGAAAATGAGAAGATGTAGATAGTCAAGAAAAAAGAGAAAGAAAATACAGATCGCACAGAGATTCACTGTTAACCTTTGGTGTATAATAAATCAGACACTTTCCTCTGCATTACGTCATATAGAAATGTACATATAAAGTGTATGTATACACATACATATATACACACTGTTTTTTCAATTTGTTATTTTCACTTTACAATATACAATGAGCATCTTCTCATGCAAATGAATGAGACCCTTTATTAAGTGAGTAAGATTGGGTCAAAAGATGAGATGTTGACAAGTCATATGTAAATCTAAGCAACACCGAAGGACTGGGGTAAACTAATGACAATATTTAGCAAGGAAATGCAAACAGAAAGCAGTGGCAATATTAATAACAGAAAATAACTGAATTTTCAGAGAAATGCATTAAATGGGATAAGGACGGTCCCGAGAATGCCTATTGTTAGAATGCAGAGCCCTGAATCTCTTTCTCAGCCCCCTTATCTCCTCCAAACACCTTTCCATCTCATCTCCCTCTCTTGTCATTTCCTCATCCTTAAAATGCCTATAGTCTATGTCCTCTTTAAATTCTTCAAGAGACTGAAGCAGCCTCTGTCTGAAATTCCATTCGGTTTGTTGGCGTTCAAATTCTCCGTAGGGGCATTCTTCCTCCCTCTTTGGCACGCTGCATTTGGGCTTTCCTTCATTTTCTTTGCAGGGTTTTTGCATGATGTTGTTGTTTCCTGTGCCGACGCGGGGTTGTTTCCTGCTCTTTTTCTTGCTTCAGATGTCTGTTAGCACAGACCCTCCGACCTGCAAACAAAAAGGAAGGGGGCGGGGAGAAGGGAGTTCTCCGTGGATCAACCGGCAGCTCCAGGGACGAGACACTCGTTATTATCTTGAATCCGGGATTCTCATCTCCATCGGTCGCCCCCAATTTTCCTACCTCCTTGTTCCCTTCCGATCCCTACCCTTCGCGCCAGGATTTCTGTTCCCACCTCCCACCCCTCACCCTCAGGCCTGGTCCTTGCAAGGCCCATGGTCGCCCTCCTCCTTCTGCCCCACCCAACCACAGCGGCAGGCCAGCATTGAGAAAGCGAACTATTTTCAAGGTATCTCTAAATTTCTCTCGTCCCCATCCCAGGATGATTTCAGCCTTTCTCCACCTACCAACCCACACCCCAGGCCTACCATTTTATCCAACGGAATTGGAGAAAGACCAGAGAGAAGGATAAAAAGAAAGCTTGCCAGGATGAGAAAAGCTGATTATTTCTAAACTATCACTGAATATCTGGGTGTCTCTCAAGAGACTTCAACCTCCCTCTCCCCCCCACTTAAAAAGCTACAATTATCTCCGACGATTTTGCAGGGGAGCAAGCCTGGACCTATTCCAATAACTAGATTCAGCCACTACTGTCCCCGGGGTCTCAGTTGTTCCTTCATACCAGCTTGCTGGGATTTAAGGAATTTACCTCTTCCTTCCCTTCGCCACAAGCACCCACGTCTGCAGAGCAGTGAGGAGCTGGTACCCAGAGGAGAAAGAAGCCCAGGAATATAAGGACTTCAGTTCACAGCAGCTCCTGATCACGTGAGGATTATGTCATCCTCCAACTCTGGTCCCCACTTTCCCCTCCCACCAGCAATGCTGCAGAAGTGGATGGCTTACCAACCTCCCACCCCCAACCACACCAGGCCCTGTCACTCACTTTTGTCTTTGCTAATTCCAGAGGTCAAAAGTGGCCCCTTCTCCTTGTGATTGGAATTTGCCTTTCTCTAATTACCAGGGAGGGACTGCATCTTCCCATAGTTATATTAACCATTGTTACTTTTTTAGTGGTTGCATGGAGAGAGAGGATTACTTATCCTTTCCTAGGCTACAGGAACAGAAAAGTAGCTACCTTTCCTCTACCCACCCTCTTCTCAGCCACTAACAGCTACCATTTAACTTGCAAATCCTGGAAACCCAATTGGAGGGAGTGGGATGAGTTAGGAAAGGAGGCAATGATTAGGATTGTGTTTTTTACTTTTGTCCTGATAATTTCTTATTATTTTCCAATCTTTCCATAAACTTATTATAAACATTTAATCATCACAAATATGATGAAGATATGTACCTTTGGAAATATTCAAGATAGGAAGATAAAAAGACCCAGCCACCTGTTTCTGCTGCTGAATTCATAACATAAATATAAACCCTTCAAGCAGACACATTTCTGGAAGTTTAAAATGGACAGGGAGGCTGGGTGCAGTGACTCATGCCAGTAATCGTAGCACTTTGGGAGTCCAAGACAGGAGGATTGCCTGAGGTCAGGAGTTCAAGACAAGCCTGAGTAAGAGTGAGACCCCTATCTATACATAAAATAGAAAAATTAGCTGGGTGTCTTGGCACACATCTGTGGCCCAAGCTACCTGGGAGGCTGAGACAGGAGAATTGCTTGAGCCCAGGAGTTTGAGGTTGCTGTGAGCTATGCTGACACCACTATAATCTAGCCTGAGCAACAGAGAGGAACTTGTATCATAAAAACAAAAATGTACAGGGAGGTTGGAACCTACATTTTGAGGGGCTTCTGAGTATGTGAGGTTCTTTCATTTAGTGAGTCACTGAGACCATAATCCCATAGCACCTTGCCCTTAGATTTTCAGATCTCAAAAGTCAGTCACAAATTTTTACTACTTTGATATCAGTATCATACCCACTCTTTCCCAGTTTGTCCCATGCCCATACTCCCTTTTTTCCTTCAATACTATGCCCAAAATATCCCAACTTTCCTCAACACCCTCATTCAGAACAGAATAGCTTTTCATTTTCCCCAAACATCTTCATCCTAGTTATCTTTTCCTAGACCTTATTCAGCCATTGAGGAATTAGAAGTTACTTGGAGCACTAACAGACACTGGTCACATTTAATCATTCAACACACAAAACTCTTTGTTGCTAAGGACTTTGGTACTCATGTAAGTATATTTGTTCTTGATTTCTTAGCTTGAAATATATACAATGAAAGAAAGGGGGATATGTAAAGTTCTTAGAATTTGTTTTTAGAAAGACCGTGGCTCATTATGAATGTAAAATTGCCACCAACCAGTTAGATGTAAATGGCTCCAGAAAAGGGTAAGTGGTCAGAAAGAGAAGAGGTCTTAAATAGAGTGGAGCAATGTTGTCACAGATATTAACAAATGATTAGTTGTGACAAAGGCAGAAAATTACTTAGGATGGAAAGTTCCTAAATCTTCTGTGAACAGCTTTTCATGCAGATTGTTAGACTCAGAGTTATGAAATGGCTGGAAGGATCTAAGTGCTGAAGAATTTGCATCTTTTTTTTCCACTAAGAAGGTTTTTGAAATTTATATAGAAAAAATACAATAAATAAAGCCAGCCATAAGACAAACATAGAACTCTGAGAAGGATTTGCTAATGAGATCATGGACAAATGGCTATAAACTGTAAGAAATAGGCCAACAATTCAATAAGCAAATAAGCAAAATATATGAATATCTTAGTAAGAAGAATGGCATTGGACAGATCCTAGTTTGAATGAATTGCACTTACCTTTTGTGTAAACTTGGATGTAAAACTTGGGTACTAAAACTTCTCTGTGCTTCATCTATAAAATGGAGCTAATAGTTTTAAATATCTCAGAGTTGTCAGGACTAAATGACATAAGTTACGTAAAAGTAGTATTACTGCATACAATTACCAAAAGCAGGCCTGGTACTGGGGTGGGAGGCTGAAGCCTAGGGCTGCTGAGGTCATCTTGGCAGTGGAGCAGGCCCAGAGACTGATCCCTCAGCGAAGGCCTGGAACCTGGGGCTGTGGGATTCAGCCTGGTGTGGAGGTCGGCTTGGAGGCTCAGCCTGCAGTTACTGGCCTAGAGTCTGAGGCCATGGGGGCCTGCCCAGTACAGACTATTACTGGGGTGGGCTCAGTGTTGAGGTCCAAGGCAAAGTCTAGTACTCACTTCCCTTTCCTTCCCCCAGGTGGTTGGTATCTCTCTCCATGCTGTGCAGCCTGGGGTTGAGGAAGGGGTAACATGGGTAATGTAAAACTGTCCTTCCCACCCTCTTCAATGCATGTTTTCTTATTTCTGTGCTACACTCAGGTGCTGTAACCTCTCATCTGGTCTCCTCATTTCTTATGAAGGCATTTTCATGCATGGATAGTTGTTCAAATAGATGTTTCTTTGGGAAAACGAGTACTGGAAAGTCCTGTTCTGCCATCGTGCTGACATCCAGCTCCTCACATCTCAATTAATTTTTTTTTTTTTTTTTGAGACAGAGTCTCGCTTTGTTGTCCAGGCTAGAGTGAGTGCCGTGGCGTCAGCCTAGCTCACAGCAACCTCAAACTCCTGGGCTCGAGCGATCCTTCTGCCTCAGCCTCCCGAGTAGCTGGGACTACAGGCATGCGCCACCATGCCCGGCTAATTTTTTTTTTATATATATATATCAGTTGGCCAATTAATTTCTTTCTATTTATAGTAGAGACGGGTCTTGCTCTTGCTCAGGCTGGTTTTGAACTCCTGACCTTGAGCAATCCGCCCGCCTCGGCCTCCCAAGAGCTAGGATTACAGGCGTGAGCCACCGCGCCCGGCCTCAATTAATTTTTAATAAGGCAGAAAAAGAGGGTAAAAAAAGGAATAATGAAAAGATGAGACATATGAAAGCAAATGGCAAGATATAAGGTTTAAACCTAGTCGTATTAATAATTACATCAAACATTAATTGCCTAAGCATACCAAGTCAAAAAGGAGAGTGTGATAGTTGATTTTGAGTGTCAACTAGACTATATTAGGGGATACTCAGCTGATAAAGCATTATTTATTCTCAATGCTTTAGAAGGCACTGAGTCAATCCCTCTTCTGCTGAAAGTGAAACCCAAGTGGTTTTGCTTTTGATTAGAGTGATTGGACTGCCATAGATGTGTTTGTGAGGGTGTTTCCACCCTCACAACTTGGTGGACTGAATGGGGAAGATCCACCCTGAGTGTGGATGTGCACCATCCAATCAACTGGCTGACTGATGGAACAAAAGAGTAGAGGAAAGGTAAATTCTTACCATCGCTCCAGTGGAGCCAGGATGATCTTCTCCTGCCCTTGGACATCATAACTCCAGGTTCTCTGGCTTTTGGACTCTAGTACTCACCACCAGCAGCTACCCAGGCTCTCAGGCCTTTGGCCTCAGACTGATAATTACACCATTGATTTCTTGGTTCTGAGGCCTTTGGACTTGGACTAAGCCACTACTGGCTTTCCTGGTTCACTAGCTTGAAAATGACCTATTGTGAAACTTCTTAGCTTCCATAATCAAGTGAACCAATTCCCCTAATAAATCCCTTTTCATGTATCTGTCTACATATCCTATTGGTTTCATCTCTCTGAGGAACCCTGACTAAAACAGAGAGGTTGACAGATTGGGTAAAAATGCTAAAACACTTATGTGCTTTCTATGAGAAACATACTTTGGGCTGGGCATGGTGGCTCACACCTGTAATCCCAGTGCTTTGGGAGGCCGAAGCAAGAGGATCACTTGAACCCAGGAGTCTGAGACCAGCCTGTGCAACATAGTGAGATCCCGTCTCTAAAAAAATATTTTTTTTCAGATTAGCCGAGCATGGTGGCATGTGCCTGTAGTACTAACTACTTAGAAGGCTGAGGCGAGAGGATTGAGCCCAGACGTTTGAGGTGAGCTATGATTGGGCTAGTGCACTCCAGCCTGGGTGACAGAGCAAGATCCTGTCTCAAAAAAAGAAAAAAAAGAAAGAAAAGAAGAAAGAAAGAAAGAAAAAGAAAGACACTTCAAATGTTAATATAAAGGCAGAGATTGGTTAATAGTAAAGGAATGAAAAAAATAGCACGGAAACACTAGTCATACGAAAGCTGGAATGATTAGATGAAAATCAACACAGTAGATTTCAGAGCAAGAAATGTCCATGGACAGATGAATGAATAAATAAAATGTGGTACATACATACAATGGGATATTATACAGAGTTAACATGTTTATCCCTGGGGTAATAGAATTAGAGAAATGATAGGACCTTACACCTTCAGAACTCAATGAAAGATAGTCACAATGATTTATTAGATATCCACTGGTATGTGTCAGATGGGTAGGTAGGGAGGCAACAAAAGCCAACCACAAGGACATAGTGTTTACACTCTAAGAGACCTCTGAGAACCTTAGCTTTGGTGGCATCTGCTATGTGCTGAGCATAGGCTAGTTGTGTAGGCTAGTGGGCTACACCATATGACCCCCTCATCAACCTATGAGGTAAATAACCTTTTCTATATTTGACACATGAGAAATTTGATGTTTGTCCATGGTTACAAAGCAGGTCATCTGTCTGTGTTCTGTTCTTCATGCCCATTTTCCTCAGTTATCAGCCAGTTCCTAGCGGGCTTGTAACTGAGCTTTTTTAGCCGCTCCTTGGTGGTCATCAACGACATAAGAAAACAGATGCTGAGTAAATCAGTATCCATGGGTAAATGAAAGTGTTGGGGATACTGGCACAATTAGAAATGCAATGTTTTAAAATTTTTATATATAAATATAAAAAAATATGTTAAGGCTGGTCAACTGGAG